TGCTGAGACTGTTTAGTTTACCAGGGGCGCGCTGTTAGCTTTGTTGGTATAACACTGGACTACGGAGCAGATGGTTCTTGTTCGAATCCTCTTGAATTTGGGGTTTGGGGGGAGGTTTGGGAGAGGGAGTTTTTAAGGCTCGCACTTGCCGTTTTTCTTGGTCCTATAGGAGATGGCTTTTGAATTCGGAGGTCAAAACTCTAAAATAACTTTAAAGTGTTGATACCGGCCTTAACATTCTTTGATTTTGCAAATACCTCACCAGATTTAATGTTGTTTTCTATAATTAATTATCAGTCCTTGAGGTCTATGCTTCACAATGATGCAGATGATTTTGTCTCTGTAAAATCTACGCCAAACCATCAATTGTAACGTAACGACTGACCAAGAGAGTGTGAATGATAATTTATTTCTTTGGTACTCAGCAGCGTGCCCCAAACATCCTCCACAAAACGGTTGTGGTGATGCTGACTACGACATAACAGTTTGGTCAGCAGCTCTCGTCCATTATAACATAGCCACAAAGAACCATCAAAGAGCATGTTCCTTGGATTCACCGAAAAAAAGAAGGGGGGAGGGGATAATGATGAACTTGTGGGTATCCTCGAGGTATAAAATCGGAATTCATAAAAGATACTGAGCTCGGAACAGTGTATGGACTACCCACAGACACGCGGGCTCTTAGCCAGAAAGGTATGAAGATCCACGGGACAAAGATGGATTGTGCCACCCAACCAAGCTCTCAACAGCGACGTTCTGTTCCCACAGATATAAGACATAGGAAAATCAAGCACATGATCAAGTCCACAGAGTTGCAGAGATCCAAATTGTTGAGGGAGAAGGAGGGGTGTCACACGCCAAAGGCCCAGAATCACGTTCCTCCTGTTAACTAGAAGAAAAACCCCGGCAAAGCCTTAAAGTTGCCATCATTCGAGCACTGCAGACAGAACTGAGCAATAGCAATTAATTACAACCAGTGTCTGGGGGTATTTAGGATATTGTCTGCATTGTCTGTAAAGAGCACTTTGGTTTGTAGAGAAGCAAAGCAAAGCAAACTCCACAGTACAGCAGGCGATAAAGACATAGGAAAACCTTAGAAACAGACAGAGACACCTTAAAATATAAATAAATAATTGACAATTGCTGAAAATAGTATCAACAGAAGAGGGAAAAGCTTAAGGAAGCTTTGAAATGAAACTAAAACAAAAAGAAAGACAGGGCACTTGGTAAAGCTGAATATTTGAGGAAAAAACGTCTCCTCTGCAGTAGGAATACTTGTTTTAAAACATGCATTTTTACTGCAAATATTTTTTTTCCGCAACAAATACATATTGTGTGCTTTGATATCGTGTCTAAATACAATAAACTGCATTTTTCATCACCTTACTTTTCGTTAATGTTGAAATTTTAACATGCTAAAAGCGTATTATTGCTAGCAGCAAAGCCCTAAAAACACGCTCCCTCTCGTGCATAGCGTTATATTGTTGGATCAAACTTTTAACGGCATCAAAAGTAAGGAATTTTTTTTTTGATTGCTACAAAAGCAACCTGAATCCTTTCATTTGGTGCCCAAAGGTAGGCCTACATTGTGTCCAAATGTTATAAAACTTTGAGAGGCCATGCATTAATGTTATTCTGTCACTGATGAGAAACTGAAAGGGTTGACGTTTCTCTTTCTTATTGTGGAATGCGTGTGAGCCAGGCAGGTGGACTACCAAGTAAGAATATTGGCAGACTTGTCTGTGTATCTGTTTATCTTTCTGCATGACTGACTGCCCGGTTTTTTTTTCTACCTTGCTTACACACTTACACACACACACACACACACACACACACACACACACACACACAC